AGATTTCTGGCTCCCAGGTGTCTTTTATACAGGTAACGAGCTGAGATTAGGAGCACACTCTTAAAGGGAGTGCTCCTAATCTTAGCTTGTTACCTGTATAAAAGACACCTGTTCACAGAAGCAATCAATCAGATTCCAAACTCTCCACCATGGCTAAGACCAAAGAGCTCTCCAAGGATGTCAGGGACAATATTGTAGACCTACACAAGGCTAGAATGGACTACAAGACCATCGCCAAGCAGCTTGGTGAAAAGGTGACAACAGTTCATGCGATTATTCGCAAATGAAATAAACATAAAAGAACTGTCAATCTCCCTCGGCCTGGGGCTCCATGCAAGATCTCACCTCGTGGAGTTGCAATGATCATGAGAACAGTGAGGAATCAGCCCAGAACTACACGGGAGGATCTTGTCAATGATCTCAAGGCAGCTGGGACCATAGTCAACAAGAAAACAGTTGGTAACACACTACGCCGTGAAGGACTGAAATCCTGCAGTGCCCACAAGGTCCCCCTGCTCAAGAAAGCACATATACATGCCCGTCTGAAGTTTGCCAATGAACATCTGAATGATTCAGAGGACAACTGGGTGAAAATGTTGTGGTCAGATGAGACCAAAATGGAGCTCTTTGGCATCAACTCAACTCGCCGTGTTTGGAGGAGGAATGCTGCCTATGACCCCAAGAACACCATCCCCACCGTCAAACATGGAGGTGGAAACATTATGCTTTGGGGGTGTTTATCTGCTAAGGGGACAGGACAACTTCACCGCATCAAAGGGACGATGGACGGGGCCATGTACCGTCAAATCTTGGGTGAGAACCTCCTTCCCTCAGCCAGGGCATTGAAAATGAGTCGTGGATGGGTATTCCAGCATGACAATGACCCAAAACACACGGCCAAGGCAACAAAGGAGTGGCTCAAGAAGAAGCACATTAAGGTCCTGGAGTGGCCTAGCCAGTCTCCAGACCTTAATCCCATAGAAAATCTGTGGAGGGAGTTGAAGGTTCGAGTTGCCAAACGTCAGCCTCGAAACCTTAATGACTTGGAGAAGATCAGCGGACACAGCGGAGACATCGAGAGAGAGACACGGGGAGAGACACGGGTGGAGAGAGAGACACGGGTGGAGAGACACGGGTGGAGAGAGAGACACGGGGAGAGAGACACGGGTGGAGAGACACGGGTGGAGAGACACGGGTGGAGAGACACGGGCGGAGAGAGAGACACGGGTGGAGAGACACGGGTGGAGAGACGCGGGTGGAGAGACACGGGTGGAGAGACACGGGTGGAGAGAGAGACACGGGTGGAGAGACACGGGTGGAGAGAGAGACACGGGTGGAGAGACGGGTGGAGAGAGAGACACGGAGACACGGGTGGAGAGACACGGGTGGAGAGACACGGGTGGAGAGACACGGGTGGAGAGACACGGGTGGAGAGACACGGGTGGAGAGAGAGACACGGAGACACGGGTGGAGAGAGAGACACGGGTGGAGAGAGACACGGGGAGAGACACGGGTGGAGAGAGAGACACGGGGAGAGAGACACGGGTGGAGAGACACGGGTGGAGAGACACGGGTGGAGAGACACGGGCGGAGAGAGAGACACGGGTGGAGAGACACGGGTGGAGAGACGCGGGTGGAGAGACACGGGTGGAGAGACACGGGTGGAGAGAGAGACACGGGTGGAGAGACGGGTGGAGAGAGAGACACGGAGACACGGGTGGAGAGACACGGGTGGAGAGACACGGGTGGAGAGACACGGGTGGAGAGACACGGGTGGAGAGACACGGGTGGAGAGAGAGACACGGAGACACGGGTGGAGAGAGAGACACGGGTGGAGAGAGACACGGGGAGAGACACGGGTGGAGAGAGAGACACGGAGACACGGGTGGAGAGAGAGACACGGAGAGAGACACGGGGAGAGACACGGGCGGAGAGAGAGACACGGAGACACGGGTGGAGAGAGAGACACGGAGAGAGACACGGGGAGAGACACGGGTGGAGAGAGAGACACGGAGACACGGGGGGAGAGAGAGACACGGGTGGAGAGAGACACGGGGTGAGACAGACACGGGTGGAGAGAGAGACACGGGGTGAGACAGACACGGGTGGAGAGACACGGGTGGAGAGACACGGGTGGAGAGACACGGGTGGAGAGAGAGACACGGGGAGACACGGGTGGAGACACGGGTGGAGAGAGAGACACGGGTGGAGAGACACGGGGAGAGAGACACGGAGACACGGGTGGAGAGACACGGGTGGAGAGACACGGGTGGAGAGACACGGGTGGAGAGACACGGGTGGAGAGACACGGGTGGAGAGAGAGACACGGAGACACGGGTGGAGAGAGAGACACGGGTGGAGAGAGACACGGGGAGAGACACGGGTGGAGAGAGAGACACGGGGAGAGAGACACGGGTGGAGAGACACGGGTGGAGAGACACGGGTGGAGAGACACGGGCGGAGAGAGAGACACGGGTGGAGAGACACGGGTGGAGAGACGCGGGTGGAGAGACACGGGGGGAGAGACACGGGTGGAGAGAGAGACACGGGTGGAGAGACGGGTGGAGAGAGAGACACGGAGACACGGGTGGAGAGACACGGGTGGAGAGACACGGGTGGAGAGACACGGGTGGAGAGACACGGGTGGAGAGACACGGGTGGAGAGAGAGACACGGAGACACGGGTGGAGAGAGAGACACGGGTGGAGAGAGACACGGGGAGAGACACGGGTGGAGAGAGAGACACGGAGACACGGGTGGAGAGAGAGACACGGAGAGAGACACGGGGAGAGACACGGGTGGAGAGAGAGACACGGAGACACGGGTGGAGAGAGAGACACGGGTGGAGAGAGACACGGGGTGAGACAGACACGGGTGGAGAGAGAGACACGGAGACACGGGTGGAGAGAGAGACACGGGGGGAGAGAGACACGGGGTGAGACAGACACGGGTGGAGAGAGAGACACGGGGTGAGACAGACACGGGTGGAGAGACACGGGTGGAGAGACACGGGTGGAGAGACACGGGTGGAGAGACACGGGTGGAGAGAGAGACACGGGGAGAGAGACACGGGTGGAGACACGGGTGGAGAGAGAGACACGGGTGGAGAGACACGGGGAGAGAGACACGGAGACACGGGTGGAGAGAGAGACACGGGTGGAGAGAGAGACACGGGGAGAGAGACACGGGTGGAGAGAGAGACACGGAGACACGGGTGGAGAGAGAGACACGGGTGGAGAGAGACACGGGGTGAGACAGACACGGGTGGAGAGACACGGGTGGAGAGACACGGGTGGAGAGAGAGACACGGGTGGAGAGACACGGGGAGAGAGACACGGAGACACGGGTGGAGAGAGAGACACGGGTGGAGAGAGAGACACGGGGAGAGAGACACGGGTGGAGAGAGAGACACGGAGACACGGGTGGAGAGAGAGACACGGGTGGAGAGAGAGACACGGGAGAGAGACACGGGTGGAGAGAGAGACACGGAGACACGGGTGGAGAGAGAGACACGGGTGGAGAGAGAGACACGGGGAGAGAGACACGGGTGGAGAGAGAGACACGGAGACACGGGCGAGGTAGGGAGACACGGGGTGAGACACGGGGACAAGGGGGGGGGAGGCGGAGACACGCGGAGCCTCTGGCGGTCTCCACTCGTAGTTTATTCGGGTTCAAATAGTACAGAGCAGTGTAAATCACAACACTGATAAGTCTAGGGCAGTGTAAACCATAACACTGATAAGCATCACGCGTTAGCTCTTGTAGCAACATCAACATCACCAACATCATCATCAACATCACCAACATCTTCATCATCAATATCAACATCATCAATATCAACATCACCATCATCACCAACATCCTCATCATCAACATCCTCATCATCAACATCATCACCACCACCACGAGGGGTGAAGGGAGGGGGGCGAGGGGGGAGGGGGGCGGAGGGCAGGAAGTGGATAAGAGGAAGTCGTGGGGCGAGGGGGGCGGGGCGAGGGGTGAGGGGGGCGGGTTTGAGGGTGAACTCAAGTGACCCGACAGACGTTGAGCGCAATTCTTTGTTTATTTCGGTAAAGTCGCGTAGATAGGGAACACAATATTAATAATAAAAATAATAAAATACAAAAAAATAAAATAACAAATAAATAAATAATACCCCCCGTTGACAGGAAGAGGAAAAAAAATCCCCTCCCCCACAATTTGGCGCCCTTTGCACGACGCGACCCGGTGAGCAGCTCAGTTCTAACGGCGTGAACACGCGGGGCGCATCGTGGGTGGTGATCACCACCAACATCAACAACATCATCACCACCACCATCACCACCAACACCACCACCATCATCACCATCAACACCACCATCATCACCATCAACACCACCATCACCACCAACACCACCACCATCATCACCATCAACACCACCATCACCACCACCATCATCACCACCATCACCACCATCACCACGATCAACACCATCAACACCATCACCACCATCACCACCACCACCATCACCACCAACACCATCACCACCATCACCACCATCACCACGATCAACACCATCAACACCATCACCACCACCACCATCATCACCACCACCATCACCACCATGACCCCCCCTCCTCCTGCCCGGCCCCACCCTCCCCTCTCGTCGTCTCCCGTAGCTCGAGCCGGCGGCGGCTACGAGCAGCAGCAGCAGGAGCAGCAGCATCATCATCAGCAGCAGCAGGAGCAGCAGCATCATCATCAGCAGCATCAGCAGCAGCAGGAGCATCATCATCAGCAGCAGGAGCAGCAGCAGGAGCATCATCAGCAGCATCAGCAGCATCATCAGCAGTATCATCATCAGCAGCATCATCATCAGCAGTATCATCAGCATCATCATCAGCAGTATCATCAGCAGCAGTATCATCAGCATCATCATCAGCAGCATCAGCATCATCATCATCAGCATCATCATCAGCAGCATCATCATCAGCAGCATCATCATCAGCAGCATCATCATCATGGCCACGTGGACGCTGTGCTTGGGCAGCAGGACGAGCTTGATCTCCATGGCCGGCATCCGCTACGAGGGCACCCTCAGCGGGGTCAACACGGACGACTGCACCGTCGCCTTGGCCAAAGGTCACGCACGGGGGGGTCACGGGTCAAAGGGGGTGAGGGCTTAAACAGCAGGACGGCTGCTTGTGTTGTAGCCGAAACGTCGTGAGAATTATTGTATTATGTTTTATTTTTATTATTTTATTACTTCCCTTCTACGTGACTTTACCGAAAGAACCAAGAAGATGAATCCCTGCAGTCACGAAAGCTTTAAATCGAAAAAAAGTCAGTGACTGCTTTAGTGTTAAAATACGGTGCTGTATTTTTAGGATAGTGTGTTTACAATATCATTTTACGTAGATATCCACATTCACTTAATATTTTTCTTCCGCAAATTTTTTTTAAAAATGCAATATTTGACATCATCTCAAAAACCCGATGTGATAGACAAAAACCGACGCCAGGGTTGGGATGAAACGCACGACCTCCGATAGACACCAGGCGAGGTGGTTCACTTCTCACCACCGTGGCGCCCACACACCGACCACCACCACGGCACCGTTAGCGGCGTTAGCGTCGTCTTTGTGCGTGCGCAGTGCGTGTGTGCGGCACGGAGGGTCGCCCCGCCGAGCGCGCCGTCGCCCCTCGCGAGGAGATCTACGACTACATCATCTTCCGTGCCAGCGAGATCAAGGACCTGGCGGAGTTGGGGTGCCCGCTCTCCGCTCTGCACCCCCACCTGGCCGTCGTGCAGGTGAGAGAGAGGCAGTCGCTCTCCGCTCTGCACCCCCACCTGGCCGTCGTGCAGGTGAGAGGGGGCAGCCGTTCTCTTCGCCGCCAAACTGGTTGGTTACTTTAGCGGGCAGGACCCCACCGAGATATTTAACTCTGATCATTGGTTGTTTACCCTGTAATCTTTGATTGGTCCATACCCGAGACAGCTTTCCTTAGAGCCTAGTCTCACATGGAGTTGGACAAGATGACTGCCAAAAGGCGCACAACTCAAAGACAATGCACCATCAGAGTATGAGAGCTCGGAGTAAAGCATTTACACCATTGGAACCTCATTTGCCAGTAGAAAAATATGATAATTGGTTTTTTACCCTTCTATCTGGCAACAAAACTGACACCTTTTTTACAAGGAGTCATATTTGCATAGACCACAATAATTGCAGTTGGAATGCAAACAAAAAACATAACTCTGATAATGTGCACTGTCCTTGAAGTTGATTGGTCCACACCCGAGACAGCTTTCCTTAGAGGCCAGTCTCACATGGTGTTGGACCAGATGACGCCAAAAAGCTCACAACTCAAAACATGACTCCTTGTAAAAAAGGTGTCAGTTTTGTTGCCAGATAAAAGGATAAAAAACCAATTATCATATTTGTTGTTACTGGACACGCTACGATTGATCCCGTCGCTGCGTGACCACCCACCCTCGCCCCCGTCCAGTCCTCCTCGTCACGGGGCGCCCGCCCCCTGCGGGACACGCAGCACGGAGCCCGCGGCGGCCACGGGGGCGGCACGCGCGGAGCCCGCCGGCTCGTGCGGGACACGGCGGACGGGAGGCGGCCTGCACACGGAGGAGCCACAGGTACGGGCGGCGCGGTAAACGCTGGGGATGCAAAGGTGGCCGGGCGTTGTACCGCCCGCCCGCCCGCCCTCCTCTTGCAGCCAGCAGCCTTTGCAGGTGCTCGCTAACGGAGCTTATCCTGACGTCGTACGGAAATCCGATGTTTTTTTATTTAAATCCTTTATATTAAGTTCACTTGCTTGCGCGCTTAGGACCGTGCAAATCTTTCGGCCGTTTTTTAACCCACTTCCCGTGATGCAATCGAGCTGATATTTTGCACACAGACTCGTTGTGCGTGACAATTTATGTTCGTGAATTTTTTTTCTCCAAAATTTTACACTTTTTAGGACAAAAATATTATATTTAATTACCAATTTCTTAATGCTGCCACGCAATCATCTGACCCATAGGTGGCAGCCATCTCAAGCCAGAGGACGAGAGGACTCTAGCCGCCACGCATATAAAGGATTTATAGTGAAAAACTTAGTTTTTACGGGTTATACTTGTTTTAATCCTTTATATTAAGTTAGCTTGCTTGCTTGCGCGCTTACGACCATGCAAAATTTTCGGTCGTTTTTTAACCCACTTCCCATGATCTGATCGAGCTGACATTTTGCACACAGACTCGTTGTGCGTGACAATTAATGTTCGTAAAAAAAATTTCATATTTAATTTAAAATACCAATGTGATAAAAATGAAACTCTTACTCAAGAAAAACAGAAATGAATAATAAAATAAAACCGATGCCACGCATATAAAGGATTTATAGTAAAAAACACATGCACACACACACACGCGCACACACACACTCACACACACGCACACACGCACACACTCACACACTCACACGCTCACACGCACACACACACACTCACACACGCACTCACACACACTCACGCACACACTCACTCACGCACACACGCACACTCACACACGCACACACTCACGCACACACGCACACTCACACACACTCACACACTCACACACTCACACACACACACTCACACACTCACACACACACTCACACACTCACACACACTCACACACACACTCACACACACTCACACACACACTCACACGCAGCTGCACTATCTCCCACAGCCGCGAGGAAGAGCGCCACGGTGGAGCGGGGGGTGCAGACGTCCCCCCAGCGTCAGCAGCGACGGTGTCGGAGCACGAAGCGGATTGCCGCCCAGACTCCCCGTGGGGCCCCGGAGCCGTGCGTTGAGTTGGACGCGGAGTTTGACTTTGCGAGCGCCAACGCGAAGCTGGACCGCGAGGCGCTGGACAGGGAGTTCCGGGGCAGGGAGGCCAAGCGGAGAGAAGGTGGGGCACTCACTCACACGCTGCCGCCACTGATCAACAACTAAGTCACGTAGGTAAAAAAATAAAATTAATAAAAGTAAAATAAAAAAAATAAAAAATCACGACGTTTCGATTAATTTTAATTTCGCTGCTGTGTCGTCAAAATAGAAATCTTGTCACTCAATTTTTAGAAACTTCCCAATGTGGTACCCACTGCAAACTTGGTCAAGCTGCGTCATACTGCGGTGGGATAACTCACTCACTCACACGCTGCCGCCACCCAACAACTCACTTCGTCCTCCGCTGCTGTATCGTCACAATAGAAATCTTAGTAGTAGGTTTTTACCCTTTTAAACTGGTACAAAACTGACACCTTTATTCAAGGCATCATGTTTGCAATAACCACAACACAAGTAGTCAACAAAGCAAACAAAAAGAAGCAACTCTGATAATGATAATAATATGCACTGTCCTTATCATCATTATCAGAGTTGCTTCTTTTTGTTTGCTTTTTTGACTACTTGTGTTGTGGTTATTGCAAACATGATGCCTTGAATAAAGGTGTCAGTTTTGTACCAGTTTAAAAGGGTAAAAACCTACTACTATATTTTGCCACTGGTAAAAGAGATCTCATAGAATAGAAATCTTGTCACTCAATTTTGACACACTTCCCAATGTGCTACCGACTGCAAACTTGTCATCATCACGGTGGCTATGAGATGTTAACTACCTCGCCTGGTGTGCAGGAGGGCGTGGGTTCGATCCCAACCCTGACGATGCCTGCTGCTGTATATTTGGAGTTTGTGTGTTTCTCTCATCATCATCATCACAGTGGCTAGGAGATGTTGACTAACTAAATTACCTTAAAACCGTTGGAATACCTTATGCCAGAAAAAGTGTGTTGACCATCTTCTTGGTTCTTTCGGTAAAGTCATCACGTAGAAGGGAAATAATAAAAAAATAAAACATTAAATAATTCTCACGACGTTTCGGCCACAACGCAAGCAGCCGTCCTCAGGCGAAGACCAGGTCTGTCGAGGAGACAGCGTCTGAATGTGTGTTGACCAATGGAGTCTGGGTTGGGTGGGGGGGGGCGGATCATTGTGTGTTTAATTGTCCAGGCGACCCCCTCACTTCTGCCGTTGCGTCTCTCCTTGTGCAGCGGACAAGCTGAGGGGTCCCCGCACGAGCTCCCCCGTCTTCCTGGACGGCTGCTTCTACGACAAAACCAGGAGCTTCTTTGACAACATTTCCAAAGACGGCGGCAGGTAATGGCCGCCTCTGCCACTCACTCGTGGTGTGTGTGTGTTCTTGTTGGATCTCCTCGCCTTCAAGTGCAACGCCTGGGGGAGGCGATGGGGGAGGTGGCAGTACAGCAAGCGGGGTTCGTCTCCATCTGTGCGGAGATGGTGTTGCTGTTCCCCCCCCCACCCACCCCCCACCTCGTGTATAGAAACTCACAAACGGAGTTGGTCTAACCATCCCAATATAGGATGACAGAGCTTGGGCAAATTGTTTGTGCCGTTCCTGGCACATCTGGAAACTTTGGGCGTCGCAAAAATGCGCGACGTTAACTTGAATCGGCGCGCCAAAAAAAAATGCACGCCGCGTGAATTGCGTAGTTGCACGTGATTCGGAAAAAATCCCAGCCCCGAGAATAAGAGAAGGACATATGTCTAGACGCAGGATGGCGTGGAGCCGTGCAGAGACCTCTCTGATGTCGGGTTTAGACCATTGGAACATCATTTGTCAGCAGTAGCAGAATATGATCATTGTTTTTTTACCCTTCTATCTGTCAACAAAACTGACACCTTTTTTTACGAGGAGTCGTGTTTGCATTGACCATAATACCTGCGGTCAGAATGCAAACAAAAAAGACAACTCTGCTAATGTATGCACTGTCCTTGAAGTTGATTGGTCCATACCCGAGACAGCTTTCCTTAGAGCCTAGTCTCACATGGGTTGGTGTTGTATATGTTGGTTATCGAAATTTGTTATGTTGTATGCGTGCGTGGGTGAGATTATTATGTTGTATATGTGGGTTATGAATATTCAGTGAAAATAATAATAATTAAATGAAATTTGGCCAAATGTGTAATTATCCGGAAATATGTTAATTATGTAATTATGCACATTTTAATTATGCCAATTCGAGAGGTAATCGTATTAATTATGCGAGTGGGTGTAATTATGATAATGCAAGTCGTTATGATAACCAGACCCCGCCTCGGTGACGAGGGTGGGTTATCGATCGGAATAAGGCAATTAATCGTATGCAGTTATGCAGGTGTGGTGTAAGTATGCAAGATTAACTTAGATTAACTCGGCATCGTTGTCTAGGTTCGTCTCATTCTCGCTTTAACATTCCCAGAGTGTATATTCGTGGTTATATTTTAGGTCCCCGGTTCACCCCGTTATCGCTTTAACATTTACTGAGTATGTATTAGTGTGTTTATTAAGGTCACCAAGTTCAGATCTCAACGCAGAAGCAGATCTTATGCATAGATTTCAGGAAAGAATCACACAACCACTTCTGTATTGATCAATTTATTACTAATTCAACCTTAACTATGATATAGTATGCGAACTCTCAATCCCGAAACGTCAACACGGCACCAATACAGTATCATCAATGATTGTCTGATTTCACTTTGACAACGGCACATGGATCCCGCATAACGCGATGGTTGTTAGTGAGAGAGAGAGTCGTTAAAACATGCAAATACTATGCTAAGAAAACCTTAACGTTAATGAATGATTATACTCAATATTGTTCATGCAGTACCGCACTCCTTATTGATCATACGCAACCCTTATCACGTTGTTAACACCTTGGGTCACGGGACAGTTGAATATTCTGTAGAGGATGCGAGTACGTGCGGCGATTATGACTGAAAGATACTTGAAAGATTATACGGCGATAAAAACAATCAAAACAGTTATTATTCTTAAAGGCACCAATCTCAACAGATACATCGGCAGGTTATCTGACAACAGAACGGCTCGGAGTAAGGGCCTGCGACGGTGCTCCTTTTCCGAAGCTCGTTATCTTATACCAAGTTTACTAATTGGGGACCAGATCACCTGATAAGGATCCGGTGGGCCACCACTCCCCACGTGAGCGTGGCTCGGCGGAAGGAGGTGCCAAGAATCAGTTCGTATTGATGGATCTGTTGGGAATTTATGCGATTAAGAGTACAGCCCACTAAATATTAAAGATAAAAATTACGAAGACTCTTATAAACGACGGATGGCCATCACTCGGTCTCGTTGTGATGCCTTCCCAGCCACGGATGGCTTATGGGTTCGAGTGTGTTTGAGTGGTAAGAGTTGTCTTGAATAGTCAGTGTTCGGAGTCGATTCTTTATGTCAAACAGACGCCTGGTGGTCGTGTTGTGAGGGGGCGGTGCGCGTCATACGTATCAGTCGCTCCCCTGTCACCGTGGTGGACTGGTTCGGATGGCTGTTGATACGCTGTCGCAGTTCGGAACCCGGTCGGTAGGTGGCGCCCACAACCCGCTCGCAGCTCGCAGCTCTGGGTCGTCGCCAAACTGCGATGCTCACCACTCCGGCGGCAGCAGAGACCTCCGGCTCGGCAGAGGTTGACGAGCTGAAGATGAGTCGAGCCGACCCGCTGGTCGCAGCTCGCTCCTGAGTCGACCCTCCCGGTCGAGCTCGCTCCTGGGTCGACCCGCTGGTCGCCCTCGCTCCTGAGTCGACCCTCTGGTCGCACTCCTGAGTGGACCCGCTGGTCGCACTCCTGAGTGGACCCACTCTGGTCGCACTCGTTCCTGAGTCGACCCTCCCGTCGCACTCGCTCCTGAGCCGACCCTCCCGGTCGAGCTCGCTCCTGAGCCGACCCGCTGGTCGCACTCCTGAGTGGACCCACTGGTCGCACTAGTTTTCAATGCTCAGGATCCGTTCCTTTATGCCGAAAAATCCCCCTGGATCCCGCCCACAAGGCGGGACTTCTTTCGATTTTTGCTGTCAGGATCTGTCCGTAGGCAGGTGTGTCCATGTGTGTGTCCGTACGTCCGTATGTCCTTGTGTGCATCACCCACGATATATTCCGTTGCCACACTCCCTCCATAAACCCACGAGCAAACAATCAGATGTTACAAATTGCCTCGAGGTCGTCTCTCTGTCTGGCCTTCTTCATGCACCCAAAACACAGACGTTACAAATGTCTCATAGGCGTCTTTGTTCGCACCACCTGGAGGGAGGGGCAACGCTCTCTCCGACCCGGCGCACAAAGAAATGGTTAAAAAGTTTTAAGTTAACATTTGTCCCTTACTATTTCACAGTTATGATTCTGTATGTAACCTAAGGTCTGTCGTTTCCCATCGTGGTGCTTGACTCCAGTGGGGGTGTTTCCCCGAGCGTATACACACTCCTATCCCGCTCTGCGGGGATACAAAGACGGCCGGGATCTCCCTTTCTCTCCGACCCTGGGTTTAACATCGTTTTTTTTATTATGTATTATATTCGACCTGGTGGTGATTCATCCCGTTATCCTGGCTTTTCATAAGTTTTACTTTGTCTTTTCATGCATATGCTTATTATTATTAACTTATTTCCGATATCTTAGGTCAAGGGGTAAGCTTCTTGATCCTAGGAATTCGTATTCCTTGGTGTCTGCATGGTTATATAAGCGGAATATAGTTTACGGTGAATAGCGTTAACATTGATGTTATGTCCGATATTATGTATTGTGATGTCTTTAACTTAACTTGTTTGTCAGAGCTTTACTGACACGAAGTTGCATTTCATAGCCCCGCAGTCTTTGCCCCACCCTATCTCTGCTCGCCGTGGTTGTTGCCGTCCAGCTGAGCCGTTAACTCAAGGCCTCATTAATTTCCGTCACTCCTGAGTAGGTGAGGGCGGTTGAACCTTGGAGTCAGTTCTGGTTTTTGTCTGCCTGCTTCTTCTTGTGTCCCCTGACCCCGGGAGTTATTATTCTACTTTATGGCCTGTCGAAGCCCCACTCGCTGTTGCTGGGCTGGTGTTGTTCCCGGCTTTTTGCTTACGTTTGCAGTTCGCCGTGCTCTTAATTTCCTTCCCTCTTCAACCTTATATCGACTATTCGCTCCTGTCTGGGTGCGATTCAATTTTGACTTAGGAAGGTTCTGATTGTCATATGCTTCGGGTCGAGTTGTATAGAAAGTATTAAAGTATGGAAATAACATTTCATATTGACTTAATGATGGTGATGGTTCAGTAGGCGTAACTTGTGGCCTGGTTTAATTGGAGTGGGTGTGAATATCAATAACTTTAGCCTACCCTGTTGTTAAATTCCGACTTTAACGTTACTTTAATAGCAATACAGAATAATTGAGCTTTTTGTCTTAACTAGGCGAACGCGAACTTCTGGTGACCCCCGCAGCCTTGTTATTCAGCTGGGTCTTGCCCGCCTTGAGAGATATACAACACTCTTATAAATCAGCTCACTGTGGGCATCCAACCTTCTGCTCTGGGAGTGTTATTCTTAATTTCAGGTCCAAGGCCTTTTTGGGTTTATCTTTGTTCCCTCAGCTGCAGGAGGACAAGGCGTACTCCCCCCTGTGTGCACGTGTTCTAACTAGCTCGGAATCCCTGAACACACAATCAGTGATGATTCCTGGCTTTCTGTGGTTGTGATTTAGACAGAGGCACCTCTGTTTTCTTCCATTGCCTTTGAGTCGACACTGCCCTATTATTTGCCCATGTGCTGAGGTCATAGAATTCGTTTTGACTTCAGTAATATTAACATTCAGTATTGGATTAGCAAATGGGCAATGGTTCATTGATGTAGCTCGCAGCCTGGTCTCCAATTTGAGCGAGCGCGAGGATCGATAATTTAGCCTACTCTGTTGTTGAATTTCGAATTTTGACGTTACTTTAAAACCATGCAGGATGATTGGGCTTTTTGCCTTAACTATGTCTGGCTGACACTCCCACTGTCTCTGCCCTTGCACGGGTGACATGTGCCCGTTCATCAGGCTTTATCTTTCCTTGAAGCAAGGTTGCAAATTCTGCCATCCTAGCCCTCCTCCGGTTCATTACTTAACAACACCTGGTGTTTTGCAGTTTGGTGCGCTTTGGTGTGTTCCACTCATTAAAAAAACAAGTAAAAAGATAATATATAAAAATCTCAATTTGGAAGAAGGGTTAGGATACAACATTGGACCAGATGACGCATTATGGCTGCAGGTATTGTGGTCTATGCAAACATGACTCCTTGTAATAAAGGTGTCAGTTTTGTTGCCAGATAGAAGGGTAAAAAACCAATTATAATATTTTTTGCTGGCAAATGAGGTTCCAATGGTAGCCATTTGCGACCCTGGTGCGGCCGGGTACGGGTAGGCCGTGAGTCACTGGTGAGTCACCATTTGTCACTCATTCCGGGTAGGGTACGGGTAGGGTACGGGTAGGGTATGGGTACGGGTAGGGTACGGGTACCCGTTTGCGACCCTGGTGCGGCCGGGTACGGGTAAGAAATCAAAACCCGTCTGCGACCTCTGACCAGCCGTGCTCACCCCCCCGACCCCCCGCCCCTCCCTCCTCTTCCTCCCACCCCGCCAGGAACTGCCGCGTGACGTTGGCGGAGCAGCGGCGCTTGAACGTGGCGACGTTCGGGGCGGACCTCCCCACGTCGCTCGCTCGCCGCTCCCGCCGACGCGGGGCCCTGTGGGGGGGGGACGGGCGGCCGTGCGCGCCCAAAGCCGCCGGTGGGGGGGGGCGGGCAGTCTCCTCCGCCGGCCGAGGTGCAGCCTAGACAGGTGACGACCACGGTGACGGTGACAGTAGCTCGGCTTGTTGGAGAGTATATTTAGTATATTGATGATACTGATGTAGTTTATATTTTAGTTTTTTTACGTGGTGGCTTAGTTGCTGCAGCTCCCATACTATTAACATTCCTTCCCTTTCTAGATTTGAAGCTTTCGTGACTGCAAGGATTCGTATTCTTAGGTTTTTTCGGTAAAGTCACGTAGGTAAAAAATTTTTTTAATTAATAAAAGTTAAATAAAATAAAAATCACGACGTTTCGGAGGCAACACAAGCTTCCGGAAGCTTTTTTGATTTTACTTTTATTAATTTAAATTTTTTTACCTACGTGACTTTATCGAAAAAAACCTAAGAATATGATTCCTTCCCTTTATTAATGCTACCCCTACTCCCTCCCTTTGATGCTGCTAATCCTGCATAATATGACTTTGAAACCCCCCGCCCACCTCCTACACATTCCACAAGTAGTGACTAATCCCATATCTGAATTTCCTATAAATATACTACATTCCTCTGTTGATATGTGAGTCCCTTTGTCAAGGCGCTCTTCCTCCTCTAACCCAGCTTAAATATACGCTGCCAAGCTTAGTGGTGTTCATTCAGACGCTGTCTTTCCGGCTGCAACACGATAACGGAAGTCTGTTGATGTTGCTTGTGAGGTTCTCCTCGTGAGAACACGCTGCTCCGTGGAGGATGAGAGAGAGACCATTTGACGGGGTATGCCGATAGCATAAAAATGAGATGCGATGGACGGAGCAAATCTGAGATCAGATTTGAAATCGGCACCCTGAATTTAGTCCAGAACAGCTGCAAAAGTCCAGGCCAGAACTACATGTTGTTGTTTTGTTTTGTTGACCAGTGTGATATAATTTGCGTATTATATCGTGAACAACTTCTAAATCAAAGAGCGCTCGCACAGCTGCGTGGGTCTCACCCGGTGAGATAAAGATGTGGAGGAGTTTGTTTCAAACGGCAGTCGCTTGTCAACGCTCTCGTGCCCCACGTTAGAGATTTGATGGCGCGGAGAAATGTCGGCCACAATCGCCAATTCTCCAAGTGACAATCCAGCCCTTTGCGGGGTTTGACCACGATCTGTCGTGTTGCTTCTTGACGTCGCCAATGCTGCTTACTGCTGCTGTTGTTGTCGTTGCAGGTTGTAGAGAACCACAGCTCCCACCCAGAGCGTACACATATCGGGGGTTTGTTTGATTTAAAAAAAAAATGTTGTTGGGTCTGAAGAAACGTTACGTTAAGGACTGCATGTGGGTTTCGATTTAAAGATTCTTTCGTGACTGCAGGGATTCATCTTCTTGGTTCTTTCGGTAAAGTCACATAGAAGGGAAATAATAAAATAATAAAAACATAATAAAATACAATTCTCACGACGTTTCGGCCACAACGCAAGCAGCCGTCCTCAGGTGAAGAACAGGTCTGTCGGAAAGACAGCGTCTGTCTTTCCGACAGACCTGTTCTTCACCACAACGCAAGCAGCCGTCCTCAGGTGAAGAACAGGTCTGTCGGAAAGACAGCGTCTGTCTTTCCGACAGACCTGTTCTTCACCACAACGCAAGCAGCCGTCCTCAGGTGAAGAACAGGTCTGTCGGAAAGACAGCGTCTGAATGAACACACCAAGCTTGGCAGCAATATACACAGCAATATACGCTGCCAAACCTGGTGGTGTTTCATTCAGACGCTGTCTTTCCGACAGACCTGTTCTTCACCTGAGGACGGCTGCTTGCGTTGTGGCCGAAACGTGGTGAGAATTGTAATTTATGATGTTTTATTATTTCCCTTCTACGTGACTTTACTGGAAGAACCAAAAAGTCTGCATGTGGGTTTTGTTAATTGATACGCGATTCTTGCAATGTTTATGGTGTGTACACAAGGTATACACCGCGTTTGGTTGAACACTTTAGACGTTTATAATTTTAAAGAAAGTTTTGAACTTTAGTCTAATGGGTGAAGGTAAAACATGTCTGTTAAGTCGGACTTTAAATTGTCTCCTGAAATGGGTGCTTTTGTGCGACCGGTCTTAATCTGAAATGAGCATGGACATGACAATTTAATTGAGTTGTGTTTGTATTTCACAAGGCGGCATTAAATGTTGCGGAATTTATATTGGCGCATTGGCCGTGGTGAAGTGTCTGGCGAAGATTAAAGTTGACCGGCTGTTGGCTTTGGAACATTGCTCCTTTGAATTTACTGCGTTGCTTTAGATTGCTAGTGTGTGTGTAACGGGTTCCGGAGACACTTGTAGAGGTAACTTCTTTATGACAATACAACACTCCAACAGTCCTGATACTCTGTTACAGCCTAGGTACACAGCCTAGGTACACAGCCTAGATACTCTACTCTGGCTACGCTTTGGAACTCGCCCTCACAAGTTCGTAGAGTCGGGAGTTCCAGAGTCCCACCACTCGCTCTCACAACATCCCAGGGTCTTCAGATGGCTGGTCTTGAGCTACGACTGGCCCTGATCGTCCAGGGAGCTCCCCTTTTATGCCCAGTCCCCAACGAGGGGTGGGGCCGTGTGCGCCCCCAGATATCCCACAGAGCACACACAGCCCCTTTGGCGGCGCCAAGGGGATTAAGCGCCTGGGAACCCAACGCCTGACGCCAAGAGGCTTAAGCGCCTGGCCCACCCAGGGTCCCAGAGCCCCCAGCAGCCCCTCCCTTCTTATGTCACTACATTACCCCCCTCTACGTAGCCTCCAGCCGACCCGGCTGTCAAAAAAAGATACAATTGTACAATAAATTATTTGTTACCCATCAGAATGAGTGTGTGACAATCAAGAAAAAAAAAATGAGAAGAAAGCGCCTCTCCCCCTCCTGTGGTCACGCGTATATAAAAAAAAACTCCAGGCCACCGATGCAGAACAACACTGTATAAATACATATATCCAGGATGAACGCACGCCCCAATCGCCCACTATACATGATGGCAAGGTAAGTGGCGTCGCGTTGGGACGAGAGTTCGTGGGCGGGGGTCATGAAAATCGTTTGAGTTTTGAGCGAGTCCGAGTGGCAGGTCCATCGGTCGCGACGGAGGCGGGAGGGGACCGACGACCCGCTGTTGCGCTTGTGTCCTGGGTCGCTGATCCCGCGGGCAAGCTTGTTCCCGCTGGGTCGGCCGTGGCGGGTTTCATTCCCAAGGCACCTGAGGGCGAGACAGCGGGACCTGCCCGAGAGTTAGAAGCAGCATTATCGCGGCGCGGCTCGTCAGACATGTCGCGCTCTCGGCCCCGGAGAAGTGAAGGAGGTGTGTAGGGTTGAATGTAAGGTTTTAGACGTGACGGGTGCACGAACCAACGTCGCTTGCCATGCTGGATCCTGACACACTGCGGGCGGAGAACGCGAATAATAACAACCGGGCCTCTCCAAGGCTTAAGCAGTTTTGAGGAAGTAGCCAATGGTACCTGCGGGCAGTGGAGCCAGGCGCGGTCCCCTTCTACCCAAACGTGGCGGGACGTGCGGAGATTCCGCAACCGCTCGTTGGCAAGCTGACGGGCTTCTGAGTTATTTTGAGCAGCCTCCCGGGCATCCACGAGATGACGCACATTAGCACGGATGTGGTCGGCAATCTTAGCCTTAGGTGCGGGCTGTTTAATGTGCAATTGTACGTCGATTGGGGGGCAAACCTCCCTACCATACATAAGATAGAATGGCGAGTACCCCGTGGCAGCATGGGGCACCATTCTATAGGCGGCCAAGACACCAGGTATGTGGAGATCCCAATCAGTCTGTGACTCAGACACCTGGTGGCTTAGCATGGAGGTAAGTGTCCTATGTAATCGCTCGACCATACCGTCAGTCTGGGGGTGATATGGCGAGGTGCGAATTTTGTGTGTCCCTAGCAGGTTGCACACATCCCGCAACTGGGTGGAAGAGAAATTTTTCCCTTGGTCGGTCAGCAGGCGTTCGGGAGCACCCTTATCCAGGACGTAGCCCTGGAAAAAGGCTTCCGTAATGGCTGCTGCAGACTGGTTGGGGAGTGGCCAGGCCATGGCCCATCGGGTAAAATATTCGACCCCAACAAAAAGGTACTTACTACCCCGAGGAGTAGCGGGAAACGAACCCAAAATATCCAATGCGACGATCTCATTGACCCGGGAAATCTTAATGGGTTGGAGCGGCGGGCAGGACGGCCTAGCAGGTGGTTTCCGCCGTGCACATTCTGTGCAACCTTGCACAAGATCAGCCACATCGTTTGGATTTTAGCTAGTGTTTTCTGAACACCCAAGTGCAAGAGGCGACTGTGGGTTTCCCACACAAGTCGCCCCCGCAGGGAGGTGGGCACCACCAATGTGTGGGATTGGGACCCCCCATCCCAATGCATGAGGACGCCTTCCCGGATGACATATGATACGGGGCCCCCCTGCCCCCTGTGACCCTCGGCATCTCTAGCGCGGCGTCTCAATTTGAGGAGGGAGACGTCTTCCATCTGAAGATGTCCCCAGTCGTCCAACCTGAGGCCCAGCAATGCGTCCTGCGGAACTTGCGTGGAGGGATCCCCGTGGTCCCCGACCCCATCCCCGGCTGCGGCCGCAAGGGATAGGGGCGGTACCCCGTCAGGCTGCCTACAACGCCCCGCACCCAAAAAACAAGCACAGCGCCCATTGGTCGGCAGTCGCGACAACCCGTCGGCGTTCCCGTGTTGAATCCCCTTGCGGTAAATGACAGTGAACGCAAAGTCCTGGAGGATCTCGAGCCAACGCGAAAGTTGTCCAGATGGTTGGTCCACTCGCAAGGCGTATTGTAGTGCCGCATGGTCGGAGCGTACTGTGAAATGCCTGCCATACACGTATGGTCTGCACTGCTTTATGAAAAAAACGATAGCAAGCAATTCGCGGCGCGTCACGCAGTAACGTTGCTCCGCGGGCGACAGCACCCTGCTGCCATAGGCGACGACGCACTCCACTCCATTGACAATTTGCGACAGCACCCCTCCAATTCCGGTGTTGCTGGCGTCTGTATTCAGAATGAACGGAGTGGTAAAATCTGGATAAGACAGGGTAGGAGCATCGACCAGTGCTTTTCGGACGGCATTGAACTATGCCTGTTCTAACTCTCCCCAGCGGAATTTGACCCCTTTGGCCGTTAATGCGTGGAGGGGCTTCGCGATGGATGCGAATCCCGCAACAAATCGTCGATAATATGAGGCGAAGCCGATAAAACTCCGCACCTCCCCAACAGAGGTAGGAGTTGGCCATGAGCGCACGCAATTTGTCTTTTCGGGGTCTGTGGCAATTCCAGAGCGGCTGACAATATGGCCCAAATAACGAACCGAATCCCTCATGAGGTGGCACTTTTGCGGTTTGAATTTGAGGTTAGCCGCTCGCATTTTAAGGAAAACTGCCTTCAATCGCGTGAGGTGTTCATCAAAAGTTTTGCTGAACACGATTACATCGTCGAGGTAGATTAGGCAGGAATCCCACTGGAGCCCAGCGAGGACCAGCTCCATCAGGCGCTGGAACGTCGCCGGGGCCGAGTGAAGACCCATGGGAAGTCTGTTGAATTGGAACAGTCCCTGCGGCGTGCGAAAGGCCATCTTTGGTTTGGATGCGTCATCAAGGGGTAACTGCCAAAACCCCGAGAGGAGATCCAAGGTGGAGAAGTAGTGCGCACCTGCTAAGGCATCGAGCGACTCGTCCATCCTGGGAAGTGGGTAGGCGTCGGCCACAGAAATCTTATTAAGTTTCCTGAAGTCAACACAAAAGCGGAGGCTCCCGTCGTGCTTCTTAACAAGAACGATCGGCGCCTCCCATGGGCTCTTTGATGGCGCAATGACATCGGCCGCCAACATATCGTTGACGGCCACCCGTACATGTTCCTTTTCGGCCGGGCTCAACCGGAATGGGTTTTTACGAATTGGAGCGGCATCACCCGTGTCGATGTGGTGGCTTAGCAATTTAGTGCAGCAAATGTCGAATTTGGTTTGACTGAAAACGTCGGCGAAATCGCTCAGCAGCGTGCGTAATTTAGCATGCTGTAATGGTGACAAATCGGCAGAAGTGGAGCAAAGCGCGTCGAGCCATCCTGTGTCAGGACCTGGCTTGGCAACGGAAGAGGACTCGCCCCCTACGTGACCCACGATCACATCTTCTGGCGGGGCTGGCGTCGCGTGAGCAAGCACCATTCCCTGACAGATAACGGCCGTTTCCAATCCCGCGTTAAGGACCTGGATAAAGGGGTCGTAGTCGCTTCGCACGAGTGTTTGTGCACACACGAGGTCCGACACCCGCTCAGCTGAACGCGAAGGCCCGATCACAGCACCCCCCATGAACGCGTCGTAATCAAGGGGTTTACGAAACCGGAGGGGAACTAACATCTGAGAGCCTGGAGGAATGTGAATTGTGCACGCCGCCAATGCCTGCACCGTCGTAGATGCGGAGTTCAACCGAGTGGGTGTGGGTAGGAAGGCCATGCGTCGGCCGGAGGGGAGCTCAATACACCCTTTGTTAATGAGAATTTTAATGGGCATCTTCCCCAAGAAATCTGTTCCGAGGAGGCACGGAACGGCGAGGGTTGATGAGACCAAAATGGGCCCAACTAATTGGACGTCAGCAATGCGGATCTGAGCATTGATCCGTCCGGTGATGCCCAACGAACCCCCATTTGCGGCATAGCATGGCACATCAACTGGCTGCAAGGGACGGCATGTATCGGGCAGAATGTTATAAATTATGTCTGAAATGATGGTCGCCAACGCACCCGTATCGATCAACATACGAACATCAACGCCCTCGATGGAACCCACTACGGCAGAGGACCCTGCCGCCGCGGCAACGACCCTATGGGCCAACTCGGACCATTGACTTGGTCCGAGCGCCTAGTTGTTCAATGATGGGCCCGAATCCCCCTTCTCCGAAGCATGACCCCCCTGTGTGGTGTGAGGGTGCGTGCTTGTTGTAAGTGGGGGCCGAGAGTGCGAGGTGTCGTGACTCGCCTGGGTATGCCGAGGATACGGTGATGGCCGAGGCGCCGGAGGTCCTGAAGTCCGGCGTCGGGGGACCCGGCAGCCGGACGCCACATGGCCCCGAAGGCCACAGTTGTGGCAGACGATGGACGCCCCATCCTGGCGCGAGATTGGCCGGTCCCGCTGGTGGTGATCTCGCTGGGATCGCCAGTTGGACGATCCGCGATTTTCTGTTGCCGCGAAGGCCTGATGAGGCTCCGAATGCACGTCATAGGCTTGTGCATCAGGTGGGCCTGCGCAGGCGGCGATGGTCGTGTCCTCATCGCAATGTAGGTGTGCTTGGATGCACCTAGCAGCACGTAGCGACGTGAAGTCGTCGTCGTCGTCGGCTGTCGGCATGGCAACTCGAAGCTGGCGGGCCAAGCTCATGAGCTTCTGCAGCACGAGTGACTCCACAGCGTCTTCATCCATGCGAGGGTAGGCAACCTTCGCCATGGCCAGCAGCGCGCTGCGGTACCCCAGGAAATGCTGCTTCGCCTCACCGAGCTGCTCCACGCCACCGTCTCCATCCTGGACGACATGCGTCGCTCACAGGCGGAGGCAGGAGGGAGAGAGGCGGCGCAGCGACCTGCGCCATCCCGCCGGCTCCAACACAAACACATCCGGGTGTGTCGTCACTTCTGCGGGGGGAGCAGTGGCCGCTGGGAGCGACGTCACTTCCGGGCGTCATCGGGATGGCCCACGCTGGGCCCGGAAGTGACGTCGCTCCCAGCGGCCACTGCTCCCCCCGCAGAAGTGACGACACACCCGGATGTGTTTGTGTTGGAGCCGGCGGGATGGCGCGGTCGCTGCGCCGCCTCTCTCCCTCCTGCCTCCGCCTGTGAGCGACGCATGTCGTCCAGGATGGAGACGGTGGCGTGGAGCAGCTCGGTGAGGCGAAGCAGCATTTCCTCCATTGCTGCTCCCGACGCTGGAGGAGGATCGGCAGGTGTGGTGGACGCCTGCTCAGCCGGCGGTGCGGCGTCGCTGTCGGCCCGAGTTGGCTGCCCCGTCGCCGCTTGCTCCTCAACATCGCCGTCAGGACTGAAGGTACGTGGCTTACTTCTTGTCTCCACCCCACTTCTGACACCAAATGTAACGGGTTCCGGACACACTTGTAGATGTAACTTCTTTATTACAATACAACACTCCAACAGTCCTGATACTCTGTTCCAGCCTAGGTACACAGCCTAGCTACACAGCCTAGATACTCTACTCTGGCTACGCTCTGGACTCGCCCTCACAAGGTCGTAGCGTCGGGAGTTCCAGAGTCCCACCACTGGCTCTCACAGCATCCCAGGGTCTTCAGATGGCTGGTCGTGGGTCTTGGGTCTTGAGTTACAACTGGGCCCCGATCGTCCAGGGAGCTCTCCTTTTATGCCTGGTCCGACGAGGGGTAGGGCCGGGTGCGCCACCAGACATCCCACAGAGCACACACAGCCCCCCCCCCCCGTTGGCGGCGCCAAAAAGGCTTAAGCGCCTGGGAACCCAACGCCTGGCGCCCAAAGGCTTAAAAGCGTCTGGACCCCCTGGGAACCCAGTGCCTGGCGCCCAGAGGCTTACGCGTCTGGACCCACCTGGGAACCCAGAGCCTACAGCAGCCCCTCCCTTCTTATGTCACTACACATGCAGAGCATGCTGGGATTCTGTTTCACCTCCTTTGTATGGACGTTCAACTTCGTTCGCACCGTACGTAGCCAAGCGTGCTAATCGGAGGACAAGAAACTGCTACGAAGCCGCGCCAGTGGCTCGCTAGCGCGGGTGGCACAATTCCTGGTGCAAGGAATGGAATTGGGGGGGAGCCCCCCCCCTCAATCAGTCCAATGTCCCCTGCTCTCCAAGCACGGACCCTGGGTGAGTTTCGCCCCCCCCTCAACCACTTGTGGCGGCCCCTTCATCAACACCGCCGTTGGATGGCCACAGGCGGCCATACGAGTGACGGGGGGGAGGGGGGTGAGTGAGTGACGTGTGAGTGAGTGTGAGAGTGAGTGAGTGACGTGTGAGTGAGTGTGAGTGAGTGACGTGTGAGTGAGTGTGAGTGAGTGTGAGTGGTGAGTGACGTGTGAGTGAGTGTGAGTGAGTGATGTGTGAGTGAGTGTGAGTGGTGAGTGACGTGTGAGTGAGTGGTGAGTGACGTGTGAGTGAGTGTGAGTGGTGAGTGAGTGGTGAGTGACGTGTGAGTGAGTGGTGAGTGAGTGTGAGCGAGTGAGTGTGAGTGGTGAGTGAGTGTGAGCGAGTGAGTGTGAGTGGTGAGTGAGTGTGAGCGAGTGAGTGTTGAGTGAGTGTGAGCGAGTGTGAGCGAGTGTGAGCGAGTGACGTGTGAGCGAGTGACGTGTGAGAATGAGTGGTGAGTGACGTGTGAGTGAGTGGTGAGTGACGTGTGAGTGAGTGTGAGTGGTGAGTGAGTGGTGAGTGACGTGTGAGTGAGTGGTGAGTGAGTGTGAGCGAGTGAGTGTGAGTGGTGAGTGAGTGTGAGCGAGTGAGTGTTGAGTGAGTGTGAGCGAGTGAGTGTGAGCGAGTGAGTGTGAGTGGTGAGTGAGTGTGAGCGAGTGAGTGTTGAGTGAGTGTGAGCGAGTGTGAGTGACGTGTGAGAGAGAGTG